TAAAGACGTCGCGCCAATAGATGCTCGAAGTAAAAATGTTGATGACCCAGCTCATCAGTCAACGTTGGTGGGGGTCGGTGATCCATCGATCCTTGATCCTCTTGGTACGCCTTCAGCGTCCATATGCACCTCCGGTGCCGTAATATCTGCCTCCTTCGGCCTGAGGATATGGGGACAACCCCTCGAAGTCCACCGAGGCCGGGTTGAGGTATGGCTTTAGCAAACCCACATCGGACACAGGATGTGTTCTCATCTTCTTCGGAAGGTTCAGCGTATAGGCTAAACCTTTCATGCCTATGACCTTGAAAGTTCCAATAAGACGTGGTCGTAATTTGGTTTTATATACCGCAGACGCTGCACGTGTAGGTAAATTCCTTGCGTTTAATAAACCTAAATCACCCACTTTGAACTCATGTTTATTCTTCCTGCCTTTGGCATCCGCGTGTTCCTTCTGAACATTCTGGCTTTCAGCCATAGCGTCTTTGACGTGACGTAATACGTTAAAACGCGTTGACAAAAACGCTTCCACCTTTTTGCGCATCGCAACAGGGCTGATATCAGCCAAGCCTTCGGCTATCTCTCCTTCACTAAGCTCTGATGTAGCAGGCGGTAGCGTTAAAGGAACGCGAGGGTTAAATAAGCCATTCACGTAGAATGTGGTGAAGCCTGTCGAGGCACCGCATTATTCAACGCAAACTCTGTGAGAGAGGGCATCGTGCTCCATTGCTTGGGTGTTTCAGCACAAACACTGCGAAGCATATCGCCATTAACGCGGTTGAGGCGTTTGGTCTGACCATCGGTCTGCGGATTAGTCCGCCGTGGACATGTCCAGTCGAGTGCCGAGCACTTTAAAGACGGATGTCCAAAACTGACCCGTAAAACAGGGGTCTCTATCCGAGACGATTGCCACAGGCAATCCGTGTTGTCTAAACACACGATCTATAAACAGCTTTTCTGTTCCTTCTCCATCAATGGAGTCCGACACTGCCGTTAAGTGAGCCATCTTGCTCAGTTGGTCAACAAAGACCACAATCCCAGTGTTACCTGCCGCATCACGCGGTAGGCCAAACACAAAGTTCATACTAATGGAATGCCACAACCCCGAGGATACAGGCAAAGTCACCAAAGGCGCAGCCATATTAGGCGAGCGCTTCACTCTTTGACACGTTTCACACGTGCGTACGTAGGTACCAGCCCATTTGTACACCTCGGGCCACCAATAATGCGTGCTCACAGAGCTGTAGGTCTTTTCACGACCAAAATGACCACCAAGTGGTGTATCATAAAGTATCTGATACTTGAGGTCCTCATCAGGAGGCACCACAACACGAGGCTGGTTATCCGACCCTGTACTATAGTACAACAGACCATCGGTCAGTGCATAACTATGTAATCTCGCACGATTACGTGGTGACAACTTCACCTTAGTTTTCAAACTCTGCGCTACCCAGCGCCTGCAGAATGGCAACACACGCTTCATCGCGTGCATACGCCACACGGATACGTTCCGTTACTGACGCACTCACAACATTGAGATGAGCAAGCTCATAGTCAGGTCTACGCGATAACGCGTTAGCCAAAATATTCTGTCTTCCCGGCTTATACTTCACCTCGAAGTTATGCTCCGCAAAAAAGGAGAGCCAACGAGCCATTCTCTGCGAGAGATGAGGCGTCTGTGTCGCTGTGCGTAATGTCGCATGATCGGTATAGATCACAAGCGCTTTGAGCCCAACAGGTGTACCCTGAACTTAACAAGGGCATACTTCATCGCAAGTAGCTCCTTGTCATGAACTGGATAGTTCTTTTCTTCAGCTTTCAGCTGGCGAGACTTAAACGCGATGACGCGTTCTCGACCCTCAGAGTCGACTTGCAAAAGTGCACTGCCAATGGCAAAGTCCGAAGCGTCACATACGACGCTAAACGGGCGATCAAGATCAGGCAGAGCCAGAATTGGCGCCTGAAGGAGAATCTCCTTAATGGCTTCAAAAGCCTCGTGGTGCGCGGTGTTCCAATACCATTCCACATCCTTAAGGAGATTTGATAATGGCTTAGCTACCTCCGCATAGTTGTAGCTATACTTGTGCAAGTAATTTGCCAAACCCAACCACTTGCGGAGGTTCTTCTGTTTCCCTGGAACTGGTCAATCTACTATGGCTTTGACCTTAACAGGGTCTGCCCGGATTCCTCGCTTCCCATTGAAGCATCACAAAAAAGGAATCTCTTCCGCACCGAAGATGCATTTGTCAATATTGGCATACAACTTATGCATCCTCATGCAACCGAGCACAGCTCGCAGGTGCTCGATGTGATTCTCCACATCAGTCTTGCCATTTTCAGCTCGACTATGAACGAACATATCGTCAAAGTATGTCTGTGCATACGCCCTATGGGGCCGAAACAACTGCGTCACTAGATGATTAAGCGTTGCAGGCGCGTTAGATAGCTCTTGGGGCATCACTAATCGCTCCCAGAGCATACCGCTCGGAGTGCTGACCGCTGTCAGCGGGGTATCACTAGCTTGCATGAGCAGTTGGCAATATCCATCGACTAAGTCGAGGGCACTGTACATTGTACATCCCACCATATTGCTCTGAAGAACATCCTTGCGAGGAATTGGTGTTTGAGCCGGGGTAGTGGCTGCATTCAGCTTATTGCAAGCATGCAATATTTCTTCACTTCCCATTAGGCTTTCTTACACAAAACGTGGGCGTATAGTGACGAGACTTACTCTCACGCACCATACCAGCCGCGTGCTTTGCACGAAAGAACTCGTCAATGACGTCACATTGTTCTCGTGGCAGCGGCCACTATTGCGTCACACAGTATTTGGTTACTAGAACCAAGTCAATTCCATGACGTGCACCTCTATCCGGAGGTAACCTCGTCGGAGGTTCTCTGGAGACAACATCTCCATATTCCTTCAACAAAGGAAAATAAGGATACGAAGGGTCCTTCAAGATCTGTGATCCACTACGCGTTTTCAGCGCCTTCTTGGTATCTTCAAGAACTGCTTTATCCAAAAGCGATGAGGAGTTTAACTCCTCATCAGGTCGTATAACGACCACTTCGGCGATGTTGCCTGCCTGTAAGGCAATGCCAAACTCGTCAAAGAAGAACTCGTCCAGCTCTAACAGAGCACTTACTGCGGGTATTGCTGAAAGAGCCACCGGCTCTTCAACATCCCCAGTCAACCATTGACGAGTGTATATAGCTTTTCGCCATCACCGTCACTCACGATATTATCATCGCTACTCATGATGCTCTCAGCATCCGACGCCTCAGCGTCAACAGGTGTACACACCTCAAGGTCAAAGATCAATTCGTTTACTGACTGCACCCTACCCTCTTGGGTCGTCGGCCCTTCGAAGACAAATATGCCTTTCTTGCAGGGCATTTTTTCCATTAAATGACCTGTGCTCTTGCAGATATAACATCTGCGCACAATTTGCTGCTCCGCTGCTTGAAGCTCAGCTTCTTCATCCTCCACTTGGCTACAGTCCATCGATACAAACCCATCAGAAGAGTAGTTACAAGTAGCAGGCCTAGCGACCATAAAGTTGATCTCAGCATTCCATGCCACTCCAACAGCTTCCTCGAATGAGGACGGGTTTACCCGGAATACTTACGTTCTGGCTCCAACTCGGAAGCCCTCCATGAAGACCGTGAAGGTCACTGCCTCAGGCATAGGGTTTATGACCATGGCAGCAACGAGAGTTCTCAACTCTTGTACATATGCCGCAAGCTCACGCTTGCCTTGGCGACACGCCAAAACCGCGACCGGTTACGGTGTGCTTGGTTTGGCGGTACATACTGCCGGGTCATCTGAACATTCAGATCGGCCCATGTGGGAAAAGCATTTTGCATTGATGTGCCACATGTGAATGCCCACTGTTTGGCTAATCCACCCAACTTGCCTGTGGCAAAGCCCACACGGTGCGGTTCATGGTGATGTCGACTATAAACATAGCCGACTCGACCTGTCGGAACCAAAGCATAAGATTGTCACCTTCTTTGCCGTCGAACTTATCGACTTCCATTTGTATGGGTTTTGGTCTGCGGACGACTTCTTGCGCCATGGTCGCCATGGGCGAAGGCGCAGAAGAGTGCATTTGTGCCGTTAAAATGCTCGACTAGAGCTTTATTATATTCATCAAGCATATGAATACGCTTGTTAACCTCTTCTTCGCCCTGGGTGATGAGGTACTCCACGTCCTTAGAGCCAAGGATAGGGAGCAGCTTCTGCAACCCTTCCTGTTGTGCCTGTGGCAGGCCAACCGATGACATCTTGTCGATGTCCATTCTCACACAGAGAACTAGTCGCAAACCCAGGTGCGGGATTGACTACATGTGCTACCAGGTGTAGCCGAGCTACTGTATCCACGCTACTTTTGCACTATGTGCCGAAGAAGTAGTCAGACTACTGTAGCAGAGCTACGTATGCACTATGTGCAGAGGAAGACAAGATCAGAGAGCTTCTACGTCTTAGGGTGCTTAACCGTCCTAGGCTAGCTCGTAAGCTTGTGCCTATCGGTTGTTGTAACCGTGTCTCAAAGAGACTAGTATCAATGATACTGATTCCATCAGAAGGAATAGAAAGCTCAAGCAGTGATGCTTATAGAGCAGGTTTGAAACTGATTTATATTCATGTTTATCTTCTAACACTAAATATAGAAGCACCTACTCTATACATAGTGCTAGTCACTATTAACTGGCTCTATAGCCTGTTATTATTATGCAAACATGAACAGTGACTATACTTTAAATAAGTATAGTGACCACGTGGCTCTCTGCCACGATGCGACCCTTCGTACTTCAGGTACGGTCACTTCACCTACTTTGTACCCAAGGTACAGCCACACCACATTGGTGTTGCAGGTGTGTATGTAAATACACACCTTCGTATAACTCCATTACACGGGGGCAATAGCGGCACGTGTGACGTCGATAAGAAGGCCGCTATAGACGAGTCGATCAAGAAGCGCTTTTTTAATAAAGTCAGCATGGATGGGAAGAGATCTTATGTTCTTGAAGAGTCCGAGAATGGCCTTGCGGGTGACAACGTCCGATTGGTGAAGACGACGCCGCCCAAGGACAATAAAAGAAAGCGGGTTTCTGGAGATGGGGACAGTGGTCATGTTGCTGAAGAACCCGAGATTAGCATATCCAGCAAAGTTGTTCGGGCGTTTGAGTCGATGTTGAAGAGAAGAATGGTTGATTCTAGCGATGGGAAGAGTGCTCATGCTCTTGAATCCAAGAATGGCCCCATCGGCAGACTTTCTCGGGCGGTGTATTCGAAGTTCAAGAATGGAATCCTGATTATAGCGATGGGAAGAGTGCTCATGTTCTTGAAGATCCCGCGTGTGGACATGCCGGTGGTCCGATGAAGTCGACTTGCTCGAAGGCAAAAAATAAAGAGAGATTCTGGAGACGGGGAGAGTGCTCATGTTCTTGAAGATCCTGAGATTGACCTTGTGGGTGACGACGTCCGACCGATTGAGTCGTCGCTGCCCAAGGACAAAAAAGGAAAGAGGGATTTTGGAGACGGGGAGATTTCTCATGTTTTTGAAGATCCCTAGATTGGCCTTGTCGATAGAATCGTTCGGACGTATAACTCCTGCTCAAGCTCAAGAAAATAAGGACGGATATTTGATGCAGCTCAATTGCAAGGGTTTCTTGGCACGATGGAGTATGAGATATTTGTAGTTCGGCTAATTGAATGAATTCTACAAGGCGAAGAATGAAGTTGTTGCCGAGATAGACGGTGCAGAATCTCAACATTCGGTGGAATCGTTGCGGGTGAGGGCGGAAGAATATCCGTCAAGCTGGTATATCTAGGCAGTGGATAGTTTGGCGTTTGTCACGGGACACTGACAGAGAGTAGGATGTGTAGATTAGGTATAATGGCTCTTAATCTTGTTTGCTAGCTTCCACTCATAGTTGCAGCAGTTTACAAGCATAATCAAAGCTGTCGTTATTTGGATTTTATACGAGATGTTAGTTACGCAGCAGTAAGTTTGCTTGAAAGAGAAAGATAAGTAACTATCACTATGGACGGGTTCAAGTCCAAGACCGACAGATTTGATTAGCAGTGTTATCAACATGAATTTGCTCTATCTTTTGCCTTAGTATTGGTAACGAAAATGAAAACGGTATAAATAAAAATTTGAGTAAAAACCGGTAGCGTATACAAATTGACTCGGTATCAAACACTCTATACTTGTTTTTCGTCTATCTATCCTCGCAAAACTGATTGCATACAAATTTCTAGTTTCCGTCCGCTGCGTCCCCCACCAGTCGACATTTAGTGTGCCATGCAGTCACATTTCGTCTGTCATGCTCTGCGCTTTGTCACAGCTTCCACTTCACGTACTCTACGTATTCGTTCCACTTCTATGAAACACGTACACAACTGCATGCCAATATTCGTACTGCATCCATTGGAGATAAATTGCTCCATCCGCTCCTTTTCCGAATCTCATACGAATGAGAAAGCTCCTGATAAGAGACTGGAATATTTAGGTGTTGTATACAATGCGAACAATGTGAAGAAGTATAGCGCTGAATTAGAAATTGATCATCATGTTGTTAGTGGTGGAGATTTCTGGACAGCACGTGATGCAGCAAAAGCATACGATGAACTTGTGACTCTGTATTGTGATTTGAATACACCTCGTAATTTTCCTGATGGAGACGTCAATGTGGATTCTACACCGGACATAAGTGAAGAGATTGAATGGCAAGCACCAGAGACGGGAAATCGTCATGCTGAGCTTATTCCACCCATTCCACAGACTTATTTGACCATTACTGAGGTGAAAGAAGCTCTAAAACGAGAAAAAGCCATTGACGTGTATATTGTAGACTTGGCCGGTAAAAGCAGTTTAGCAGACTATATGGTGTTTGCAACGGGTCGATCACAGGCACATATGAGACGGATGGCTGATTTACTGATAAAATCAATGAAGGTGAGAGATATTGTGGATGATTTCGACTATGGTGTTGAAGGCCGCGATTGTGACGACTGGATGATTGCTGACTGCAATAATATTGTGGTGCATTTGATGCGTGCGGATACCCGTCGTATATTGGCATTAGAAGATCATTGGGAGAACATGGTGAATAATAAACACAGTGTGTATGGGGATATGAACGAGGACGAGTACATGGATAAATTCGGCACAAGCGAGCTGATGGAATATCTCAAGGATGAGGACCATCCCCATGTTGATGATGACGGCGAAGGATCGGGTGTTGAGTGGAAGTAAACGTTCATTAGGAACGTGACACCGACGTAGTCATCAGAGCCTTAGTACAGTAGTACACTAACGTTTTAACACGTTGATCTTACATTTTCTTTCCTACTTAGTTTCCTAGTTAGCAAGCTATCGAGAGACGTTGAACTTTTTTGGAATAAAATAAGGTAGTGAGTGTCATATGGCCACACTGTGCTGTGGTATCTCTTTGCGCAGCATTGTCTATCAAGTGCTTGAATCAGTGGTCCCGCGTTACATGTTCCAAAGCAAACCTTATCGACCATAACGTTTGGTATCTAGCTAAACGAGTTACGTCTCGTAGACGTGTCTATTGTCACGCAGTGTGTACATACAGAAGAGGTTGACAAGGGAAGAATGATCTGTTAACGTACATATATCTCCTGAGTCGTTTTGTAGAATGTTGTTCTCACTTTGCTCAATTCTAAATAAATACCCCTATAGTTGTCGTTGTTAGACATTATGTACACATACTACGGCACTACGCTTGGATCAGCATAACTTTGTCACTAGAGTCGTCGGCATACTGTGTATCGTTAGCATCCAGAAGTCAAGAGATGTCCTGGCGAGCAGCATTGCAAAGGATGACGGTCGTCAGTTGGCAATGTGGACAATTCAAGTACATTGCACATCAACTGCTTTAAAAGTGAATGTCGAGTACAGCAGAAACACAGGCGGCAAGCAAACGCTGCGATTAAAAGGGAGCAATGAGCCCCCACCAACCGCTACAAAGCATGCAACATGCGCAGCCTTACTAAAAAACACGCTAGGATCTGCAGTTTCAACGAGGGTAATGAGCCTCGATCAACCGAGCCTGCTGGCGAGTTTCGAGCAACGTCTGCTATGCCATGACAGAACCACATCTAGAAGCTTTTGATGAGCAAACCGGGAAACGTGTTCAGCGAGTAATGAATCACTGAGGTGTCACCCTTGCCCAGTGTGAGCGAGAGAAAAGAGAGTAATGAGCCTCCACTTCTCTGTTGCCACCTGCTTCCCACGATATCCTTGTCAATCTCAACTTGGCCTGGCTGTGAAGACTGCTATGCTAAGCTGCTTGTATCCAACCATCTTGTCATCAAGTAACATCGAAGCAATTCTACAGTGTGGCGCGGCAGAAATGAGTTCCTGCCCGATAGCTTCACGTACTGAAGTTGTCACGAACGACACGAGACAGAAATGAGTGCCTCGTATCGTATTGCATAGCCCAGTACATCACCAAAAAAAAACATGACCCCGTCCCATTCACCAAGCAAGCTCGTCTACCACCGTGCAGCCGTATCCGCCATACACGAGTCAAGTTTTCGTCGTAGACCACTAAGCTCACGCTCTAGTCTTCCCGTTGGATTTACTCCTTGACGGTGTGCTACATTATATCTGGGGCTGACATCAATGTTGTCACTGTCACTGCTGCTTCTGCTACTTATGCGACGTCCTGTCACATTTCGTAAACTCCGCATACTCCGCAAACTGCCACTGCTGCTGCTATTGAAGCTATTACCATCAGATGCTGTTGGTGTTGTCGTTGCCACGGATGGCGCACGTTTATACGGTGCTGAACGTGCCGATCGTGGTGAAATCTCAGGTGATGACGTCGTTGGTGATGTCCCCGTTCGAGATGACCCGATCCTTTTACTCGTACCCATCGTCCCATTCGTCACTGCCTTCATCTCATCCAGTAAAGTCAATTCTCTCTTCTTCACACGCCGTTGCTTTTCTTGTCCATCCACCGTCCTTCCCTTCGATTTCACTCCTTCAGCCGCACCTGTTGTATCCATCGTCCTGGCAACTCGCTCTTCTCTCGTACTCTCTCGTTCTTGCAACCTCACCAAAGCTTCCGTCAAATATTTCTTCTGCATTCGCTTATCATGTAGTTTCTTACGATATCGATTCAATTGCAATTCCATTGTTTCCACATATTCTTGCTTCTCCTTGACCACAAGAACCAATCGTTGTTCAAAACTCTTACTCGTAGCAACAGCTGTATCAAGTCGGTTTTGCAACACCTTGATCTCCCTTTGTAAGGTCTTATTCTCTTGTAAATACTGTGCGTTTTCGGTCTGAACTTGACTGAATTGAGTCATCAATTGATCTCGATCTTGACGACTTGCTTGACTTGATCTTGTCCAATAATCTGTCTCCTGTTGTAATAAACTCTTCAATGCTGCTACTTCAAGACTCAATGCTTCCTGTTGATCCATAGCCTGTTGCTGTTTCTCAAGCGCTTCTTGTGCTTGAATCTCTAGCTCTCGTTGTAATTGTTGAATTGTCTCGGAAGCTTCCACTGTCCATTGATTCTGCTCCTCTTTAGTTTGAGTTAATTTTACTGTTAGTAACGTATTGTGATGACGTAAAGCTGTGACTTGTTTCTCTAGAGCTTCCACAGCACGTGTAAATTCACATTGCATTTGTGCCATTAATTGACGATAGTACCCGTTAGTTTCGACCATCGTATTAGTACTAGGAAGATTAGGAGAAGAGCAAGCGTAAGCTATTATCGATTTCCTTACGTAAAGACTTGGGACGTGGGTATGAGACGTCCGAGGAGGGGAAACTATTTTTGGCGCGAAAAAACTGGCGCGCTGGAAATTAAAAAAAAACATATTAGGAAAAATATATTCATACTGAAACCAGGTGTGTTTTGTGCCTTGGATTTTGAATTTCGAATTTTGAAACAAGTGATTTTTTTTTAAAAACTGAAAACTGCTTTTTAAAACAAAATTACAACGAAAAATATATAATAAATGACAAGAAGCAGGTGGTATACGGTCTTGGCGATATTGAGAGTGGTGGGGAGTCTAGTGCTGTTGGGAATGGTGCATCCAGATGAATTCTTTCAGAGTCAAGAAGTCATGGCGAAATATTTTCGAGCCGATGATAACGCAATCATACGTCGTGAACTCTTGATACCATGGGAATTTCAGCTCCCGACACCTAATCGCTCGATTATTTTCCCGTAAACTATTTATTTTGTTTACTTTTTGATGTGAAAGAGTCCCACCTAATGTGATTTTTGCTATTGTGATTTTTGTTCTTGTGATTATTACAGTGCATTGGTAGCAGGACTGCCATACAAACTTCTTGATCTATTGGGCATCAAATTAACTGGATGGCTCCTGCTAATAACGCCACGACTTTTTCTCTGCTCTCTTTCATTTCTTATTGATGTCATTCTCTATGAGATTGTTGGAAAACTAAATCGACACCAGAAACTTCAAATTCAACGAGAGAAACAGGAGAAGGTTCTACTCTTGTTTGCCAGTTCATGGCCAACGTTTGTGTTCCTCTGTCGACCATTTTCCAATACTATGGCAACGTTAGTTCTTGCACTTTGTTTTGCAGTTTTATTTCTAGTCAATCCGGTAGGACACTGATAGTAGTTTTGTATATTGCAATTCGGTTGGCATTGTTGATTTACTTATACTTCTGACTACTTGAATGGGGCTTTTTGACAGCATCGACGAGTGTTGCATGGACTATTGCATGTCCAATCGCTCCTTCTAGGGAGTTTATTAGCCATTGGATTTTTCACGCGGTTTACATTTCCAGTATTTTTCGTCCCGCTTGGATTGGAGCTATTACGACAGCAAGACGCATTGCTTATTCATGCCATTAGGCGTAAGGGAGACGGTACGAGTGCGCCATGTGTAGCACGCCGTGTGACAGCAACAGTTGCCGTGGTAATACAGGCATTTGTGGCCTTTATGATTTGGGCGATGGGCTTTATTGTTGTGGATACATTGTATTACCGATCAGAAGTGTTTCATGGCGAATGGAATCGATCGCTACTGGAACAGATTGCTAGGAATGCTGTGATTGCACCGATAAATAATTTGCTGTACAACATCCAATACGACAACTTGAAACAGCATGGAGTGCACCCACGGTTCACCCACTTGACTGTAAACATGCCCATGCTTTTTGGACCAGTTTTTTTCGTCTTCCTCATGATGGTCTTCCGGCATCCCGATCGCTCATTTTTCGGTAGTGCATGTGTGTTCTTTCCACTGGCGTGTTTGTCGTTGGCACCACATCAGGAGCCAAGATTCATGCTACCAGCCATCGTACCGCTGTATCTATTCACTGCATTGAATGGTAGAACGGGCGTTGTCCGCTATTTGACAAAGCAAAAATTTGGAAAGCTGCTGTGGATTGTATTCAACCTCTCGCTAACGTTCTTCTTTGGCATTTTGCACCAAGGAGGCGTCGTGCCCATGCTATTATCACTGTCGTCCATGACCTTAAATTCAATGGACAACCCCGTGACCTCAGTAACCTGGGTGACATCTTGTTGTAATTTTGACGTTGTGGACAAAGTTTTGCTGGGAATGATAGGTGCAGTGCCGCTGGTGTTTGCAAAAACGTACATGCCTCCTCGCTTTCTTCTTACTGGAATGCCAGTAGCTCCATCGTTTCAGTTGATAGATTTAGCTGGAAACACTCTCGATGATTTTTCAAAGATGGTGACTATGAACAAAGCGGGCCAAGTATCGTCGGGGCATGGTACAACTACATTTTTTCTGGTGCTGCCTGCGAGTGTCGAATTTCAGGACATTGGACTTGGCAATGCGACATCCATCTTGAGCTCTTTGAAGCTCGGAGGATGTTTTCCCCATCTCTCGACTGAAAATCTTGCACTTGACAAGTCGTTTGCATTGGACTTGTACTTGATTAAACTAGAAGTGACGTAAATGTTGGTAATCCTCAACTTGTTATAAAGTGAATTAACAACATTGTATCTAAAATATGACGGGAATGCAGAGTGAGGGGTGTGGCTGCGAATGTTATCTGTGTTCCAATATTTCGTTGTCAAATCAAGAATGTTGTTTGTCGAAATACAAAAATCGCATTCGAAAATCCCGAAAAGGTCGAAATATCACATTCAAAGCCTCGAGCGGTTCTCTACCAGACAATATCTGACTGACCCAAAGCAGATCAAACCGTAATACAAAGACATGACTGTATTCATGACTACCGGTCCAAATGGTAACATTCCACCTGTTATAGGTGTTCTAGGTGGTGGTCAATTAGGTCGTATGATGGCAAATGCTGCACATCGTCTTGGCTTAAAGGTTTTAATCCTTGATCCTCTTGGTGCGAAGTCTCCAGCTGGTCAACTTGGTCTTGAAACCGTGACTGGTAGTTTTACGAATGAACAAGATATTGCAAACTTGGCGAAACAATGTGATGTCTTAACAGTAGAAATTGAGCATGTCAATGCTAAATATTTACAACAATTACAGGATAAGAAAGAAGCTAATTTACAAGGTGTTCACCCATCTCCAGCTACAATTGCTTTAATCCAGGACAAGTATCAACAAAAACAATTTTTTACTCAAGTTCACAATGTTCAAGTCGCTCCATTTGAAATTGTACCATCATTTCAAGTAGCTTGTCAATTGGGCAAGACATTTGGATACCCCTATATGCTAAAATCACGTCGGTTTGCATACGATGGTCGTGGAAATGCTCTTGTCAAGAGTGAAAAGGATTTGATCCATGCGTTTGAAAAACTTGGCGCAAAAGTATTAGTGATGGAAAATACGTTGGATGTGGATCAGACGCAATTGGCACAAGAAAAGAACAAATTGTATGCGGAAAAATGGGTCCCTTTTGTCAAGGAACTAGCCGTGATGGTTGTGAAAGGTGCGGAAGACGATGTCCGAGCTTATCCCGTCGTAGAAACGACCCAGCGGGACAGTATTTGTGATACGGTGCTCGCCCCAGCGCAGATCCCAGAAGATGTAGCCAAGCGTGCTCGTGACATGGCGCAGGCAGCTGTAGCGGAGTTGGAAGGTCGCGGTATCTACGGTGTCGAATTGTTTCTAACTGCCACGGGTGACGTGCTGCTGAACGAAATTGCTCCACGCCCACACAACTCTGGCCACTATACGATTGAGGCATGTGAGACGGATCAGTTCGAGCAACATCTGCGTGCCATTACGGGTTTGCCTTTGGGAAGCTGTGCGCTGCGTGTACCAGCTGCGCTCATGGTGAATGTGCTGGGCGATGCCACGTCGTCTGAAGATGCGAGCTTCTCGCTGCTTCGCAACAGTTTGAAAATCCCGGGTGCTGCTGCTCATTTCTATGGAAAGGCAGGCGTGCGTCCTGGACGCAAGCTTGGACACGTGACGATTACGGCGCCGAACCTTGAGGAGCTGACCAAGCGTGCCACAGCGCTGTCACCCGAATCTGCGAAGAACTCAGGGCTGCTGAAGCTTGAGCGCAAGCCTCTTGTGGGCATTGTCATGGGCTCGGACTCAGACCTCCCGACGATGGCAGCTGCCGCTGACATGCTGGAAAAGTTTGGCGTACCATACGAGCTTACGATTGTATCGGCTCACCGCACACCTGCGCGTATGTACGATTACGCCCAGAGCGCTGCGCCGCGCGGCCTCAAGGTCATTATTGCTGGTGCTGGTGGCGCTGCCCACCTGCCGGGCATGATAGCGGCGCTCACTCCTCTGCCCGTTGTTGGTGTTCCTGTGAAGACGTCGACACTCAGCGGCGAGGACTCACTGTTAAGCATTGTCCAGATGCCGCGTGGTGTGCCTGTTGCTACCGTTGCGATTGGCAACTCTACAAACGCTGGCCTGCTGGCTGTTCGCATTCTTAGTGCTGGAGACTCGTCGCTTGTCGACGCAATGGCGACGTTTTTGGACACGCAGAAGCGCGAGGTTGATGACAAAATCGAGATCATGGCCACTCGTGGCTGGAAGGAGTACCTTCAGAACATGAAAAAACGTTAAACAGCTACTAAAGTTAGCTCGAGCTCGGCTTGAGTGTCAACAAGAAGGATTTACTGTATTCTGAGTTTGTCTTGGCACCGAAGTCTGCAACTCATGCATCCCCCCTACTTGTTCTTCTTGTGCATTTTGAGGCCCTTCAGCTGATTTTTCAGCGTCTTGGAAGTCTGCTTGTTCGACCGTACCGCTGTTGCAACATCAGCGCTGCTGTGGGTCCCCACGTTACGCCAATATAGCAACCCTGCCAAGCTAACGGCAAACATGGTAAAGCTCAGGTACCATATCAGGAAGCCCAAGGCTGCCTCATAGAACTCTGCAGTGAGCACGGGAAACTCACTCATGCCACGCAAAAATGGCGTCACATTCTCCTTACTGAGGTCATCACCAAGCTTAAAGCCACCAAAATTTGGCAGCGACCTAGGATCTGGCAGCACATTCAAACTGGCCGCGTGTGACCCTTCTGGCGTGAGACTAGCAGGAATCAAGAGGTTTGGTGCCACATTTTGTAACACCGACAAAATGTTGTTGAAAACGCCGAGAGACGTCGCTGTTTGCTTCACCAGAAGTTGCGCTGAAGTCAACATCGCACACATCGGCGCAAGGTACTGCAGTGCAATGACTGGCACGTAATTGAACTGAAGACGCACCTTGCTCTGCAACAAAGCGCCATCCACGAAGCCAGGGCGACCCACAAGCGACGCCATCACCTCACGCGGCTCCAGGAGAAAGTACTGCAGGTAATCACGAAAACAAAGCAAGCGCACCAGACATGCCACAAAGACCACGTAGATTCGAAGCATGTGAAACTGAGACTCCGTCAGACTGTACCATTTCCAAATATCCGACGATGCTGCATTAGTCAGTCCCAACACTTCAGTCTGTAGGCAATCCCGAACCAGTGCACGTGGTGAGCATTTTACAAGTTCCAAAGGCACGACCACATTTTTAAAAAGTTGCGGTACCCACAGCACGCAGATTAACACTGGAAAAAACATGTTGAGGTGCAGCAGCAGTCTCTTCCTAATCGAATACTGCTTGTTCTTGATCATCTCCAAGTACATGCGTGCAAACCGAAAGGACGGTAAAAACGTCGTGCATGTAAAAACACCTGCTAGCAACGCAAAGGCAAAAAACAATATTGCTCTCGCTATTTCTGCTAATGGTGCTATGTTTACAAAATCAGCATGTGTAAATCCCACTGTTCGTAGCACCATTGCTATGCGTTCTCCAGTAAGCTGAGCTGCTCTTTCCAAGTCAAAATCAAACATGCCCTTAGGTGGCAAGATAATGAAACCAGCTGCAATAAGTCCAATAAAACCAACGGATAAACCCAAGCGAGCTTCATAACTTGTCCAGCCGTGAGTAAAATTCAGCTGGAATGGGAACCAAAGAGCTACAAACATTGCTGATAGGAGACTATAAGTAGCTACATTCACCTTCTCATTAACTTGTTCCTGTGAAAATTGTATCCATAATGTAACAACCTTAACAATACTACCAATCCAACACCCGAATAAAGCTGAAGACACTAGTACGATAAACATCTCGTAGAGCTCATAAAAGAGCGTTTGACTAAAGACACTGGACTCAGTTTTTGCCACACGTACGTAGAATTTATCCAGCTTTTCTGCTGCACTAAGTGGTTGAGTAGTCGAGTTTTTACTGAATTGGACTGTTTTCTTCATCTTGTTGTTCATTATTCCTTGGCCATTAAGTGTTGCAATAAGTTCATCCTCAGGAGGAAGAAAGAAAGTTAATCCATTGATTAGATAGGATGATAGATTAAAGTAATAACGTAGACGAAGTTGGAGAAAGACTAGGAGAATACCAGCTATGAACTCGGGCTGGAAGAGTGTCATGATGGATGGATTGGATGGTCTTGTTTTCACACGTTCTAATTGATAGTTAATCTGAGCGTGTAAGTTATTAATAGCCAATAGAAAAATGAAAGTGATTTCTATTATAAGTTGATTCTTTTTAGAGCAGAAAAGTTATTTAAGTGGTTTTATTAATAAAAGCAGCAAAAGATAGGTATAACATTGCCAGATAAACTTATCCAGGTTGTGGATAAAATCCAAACCCGCTTCCACGTTTGTTTCATTCAACAATAAATAGTCAGTCAAAATCATTGGCCATGAAAGTGCATGTACGTCGTCTCTCCTCGTTCTCCGTAGAAGAAGATAATGAGCCAATGGAACTTGGTACTGAATCGCAAGTCATTGTAGTCACACCTGGTCAAGTTATTACGACTGAAACAAGTGCATTCTTACGTGGTCATGGAACGTATTTGAATCATCAGAATGAATTGGTCGCAAGTGTAGCTGGTGTTGTGGAAAAAGTGAATCAATTGATTTCAGTGCGACCATTTGTATCTCGTTATATTGGTGAAGTGGGTGATATTATTGTTGGTCGTGTCACGGAAGTGGCGAATAAACGCTGGAAAGTCGACGTGAATGGTCAACAAGATGCTAGTCTCATGCTCAGCTCCGTGACACTGCCAGGTGGTGATCAACGACGTCGCACGTATGCGGATCAGCTACAGATGAGAGCTTTTTTTGTTGAAAATGACCTGATTTCTGCCGAGATTCAGGAAGTTCGTTATGATGGATCACTTAGTCTTCATACACGCAGTTTGCGCTATGGAAAGCTCGAGAACGGCCAGTTTGTAGCCGTTGCATCTCCTTTGGTAAAGAGAATGAAGCAACATATGGTCACGCTACCGGGTATTGGTATCGATGCGATTTTAGGCACTAATGGATACATATGGGTGTCTCGAAGTATGGCTGCTTTGGGAGGAGATGAAAGTGAAGACATGACAAGCAGTATGGAGACTCGCGTGGAAGTGCTTACGGCCAAGAGACAGCGGCATGCTGCTACACCTATGAGTGTTGAAGACCGTCGAAAGATTGCTCGTGTTTCACAGGCGTTGTTGCGTCTTAATGAACAGTTTCGAATGATTACACCCGAGAGCATTATGACCACTTACGAGCTATTAGAATCGCGAATCGGTAGGTAGGTAGGTAGTGAGGAACAGGTAGGTAAACAACAAGCGCATGCTTGTGTTGTGTGGTACATTTTTTCTTTATCTTTCAACTTGTTTGTCATCAAGCGTTGTATACATCATTTAGACAGATTGTGCTATGCTACATCGTTGTCAAGTCCCCACCTCAAGACGTCGCAAGATATCAATGAATCACAAGTTACCACCGATTCATGATTTTCGCGCTTTCAGTGCAACTTACGCCCACGATATCGCTGCTGTCGCTGCTGTCACTGTCTTTGCTTCCACTGTCGTCACTATCGCCGCTGCCACTGTCCACGCTGTCGTCGCTGCTACAGTCAAAGCTGTCGCTGTCACTATGGCTATTGTCGCTGATAGTGTCTTGGTTGAAGTCGCCGAGGTGAACGCCAAAGGGCAGAAAGGAAAGAATGTTGCCCTTCGTAAGGCGTAACATCTTCCTAGTACCTTTCCCAACCTGACCGTCGCCAACACGTGAAGCTGCTGCCGTGGATGCTTGGCTTGACTTCTCTTCTTTGACCTCCTCCGGTTTTGCTTCTGCGCTATTGTTGATAGCAGGACCTCTATCATCCAGCTCAGCTAAATCTGTTGTATTGTTTCCTTGCTCATCTTCGCGTGTGGTTAGCTGCGCGGGGGGTGGTTGATGGAGTGTTTGCTGGTGGCATTGTGACTGGCATTGCGCTTTGGGATTCTCTCTCTGTCGCGTCAGCCGGGACACTTTGAAGGTACCGCGTCACGCGATCAACATCATCTTCTTTTTCAAGCTGTATGGGTCGATTCCCAATAGAGACGAGTCCCAACATGATTGCTATTACTACTCCAAACGCCACTGCAATTGCTTTGGCACGTCGGTGCGACTGCATTGGAGAGCTGGACTTGTAAACTCTCATCTTTTTGAATCAATGATACTTGTTCTTCGCTGCGGAATGGGAAATGGTACACGTGAGCAGCAGCGTCGAAAGTTCTCTGCCTTTTAAAGAAAACCGATTTAAAGACGCCGCTGGAGCTGGCAGCGCCGTTCTTAGATTGTAACGACAATCCAAATCTCCAGTTTCAGACACTCACGATAGCGGGGCCCGTAGCTCCACAAAATGTTTCCAAGTGCGTACGAAACGCTGTTATCTTGACTACCATAGGCCTTCTCCTTGCGCCAAGTCAATCATTCCAGTGTTTCTTCTACTTGTAACTGGTCACAGAAAGCAACAGCATGTTTTCAGCATCGTTGACAAGGTTAATGAAGCTGTTTCTTATTGGCATTATGGTACAGCTTTGCTTACTTTCCTCTTTTGCACCCTCTTTTTTTCATCTCCCTACGTGAAGAAGATATCCTTACACTTTGGCACAACGCCTTCCTTATCCTCCCATTCTCAAGTTACTATATACACACTTAAGTCTCGCCAGTAGGAATAAGCTAAGCTTGTTCATCGTGTGTCTCCTTATGGCTGTCGAAAACCATCCTGCACGTACGTATTGTACGTTGTCGTCGCACGTTCCGGGTCATCGTCCACGTCACCCAGTACGAGGTCATTCGGTACGCCAGGCCGTAGGGATTCTGTTTGATTGAGCGGTTCTTTCTTCGCAGGCGTGATCCACGTGTTTCGCATCCAAGCGCCCCACGCGACACTCATCAAGAAGCCCACGAATGCCATAAAGCACAATGCAGCGCCAGACGCTAGGAGCGCGCAGTGTACAATACCGTCCAGTACATCACAGTAGCGCACATAGTCGCTTGCTGCTAGTGCACAGCCAGCGCTCATAAAGAGCATTGTAAAGATAGCATCGATACCAAAACTCCAGGGTGCTGGAATGGTCGCGCAGCGTAAGAGAAAGACTAATACGAGGAAGAATGCGTCATAAAGGCAGGCAGTGAACGACACGATCATAACGAAATTGACGGACGGACCACCGTAGTAGACGGTCATTTCCTGTGTCTGCCCATTCTTAGTGAGAAACGTCATTTTACTTGGTTTAAAGCTACTGGCCATGAGCGCTAGGGCCATAAGACATGTGATAAACTGTAAAGCCCGTAGAGATAAGGAGATCAGTCGATCATATTCTTGACCACAGCGTAGAGTAGTATGGTTATTCTTCTTCATCGTTTTTTTGGTTGCGTCCTGTGGGAAGAACTTGGGAATTTAATATGCCACCTTTTCTTTCAATCAGTACTTCACGACCAAGAAATTACACTACGCAAGTCGCCTGCCTTTTCAGCTGTAACCATCGGTTCAAACGCGTCGTTCGCAAAACTTCTGGTCGAATCCTAGAGATTGCTCCAAATGATTTGATTTGGTACGATTATAACTAGTTAACAATATAGAACAGCTTGCGATGATTGCTATTTATGCAACTAACTTTGCGACACAAATAGACCTTTTCTTCCTGGCACGTTTAGCTAGTACGTCCGTCCTCGTTCAAGTCAACTTCAATGAGGTTTGACCTCTTTTTTTATTTGCATTGAATGGTCGTAGTCAAGTAGTTGGTATTGAAACGCTAACTATTGTAATCTTATCAGTACGTTCATGAAAGAACATGTACAAACGTTGAGAGATCTGCGGTTCAAGAGGTCCGCAATCAGACGCTGTATTTTGTCACATTAGACACTGTTGTTTTTCCTCCTACTAATGCAGTGGAAGGGCGCACGTTTCAAAAACTCTGCATCGAAAGAAACCATTTTGTAGAGATTTATTTTGTATAGAGTCTTGCATTATTACAGTAAGAAAGTTACTTTCTCTGATACTCATGTCGTAGACGCGATGATTAGATGATAGATATCACACTAGAAACGATACTCGAGAGGCAGTACTACTTTTTTCCATGTAAAAACCAGGCACAAAAGCCTGATAAAGCTGATAGCGACATCAAGACAGATCAATGACGCTACTATTATCAACAGAAATGTCCATCTAGAACGATTAATCGTCATGAGCACCACGCTTTGCTTGAAAATCCGCATTGAAATCCAAGTTTACACGTTTTTTTTGCTACTTCACTTGCAAAGCATGGACACTTTCTACATGCCAAACCGGCTTGACCTTGTACATTGACGTGGTAGACATATATTTAACGCCGGCCCATGGTCAATTCGACGTATCTGCAGCGTTTCCAAAGGTGCAGTTTTTTTACGTAGCGACAAGTCTACAGTCTGAATCGGCGAACGCAGAAGTTGTGTCATTATAAGCCTCACAGCTGTGAACGTTACGCACGTGCATCCACGACATCAGATGTTGTGCGAGCCAATCCTTTTTTGCGACAACTTTGAACAAACGTGCTCTCGCCTACATCACAAGCAGCATGTGCTACGCTTAATTTCGACGTGTGACTGGGGGAATACGGGGAATACGTGCTTTGCAGTCACGTGAAACAGCTACGACACGCTACTGACAAGAATGGTAGTAACACGAGTTACTATTAAGTTGCTAACTTCCAACTGCAAACGATCATTGTCGTTGCAACGGAATTATTCGGTTTCAATTGTTTTGACGAAACAGCACTGAAAAGCTGGACAATAGGATAGGTATGTATATATTATAGTTAAACTGCTCTCATGATCTGCCAGTCGCCGAAGGGCTTGTGCATAGAGGCTGAATATGAGTGGAGTTGACGACAAGATTCTGCGATGCACGACGGTAGCTTAGGTATTACATGCACAGCTGTTGGAACGACCAAACCTCGTTTCAGACGTGTTTGCAAAGTTACACTGACTGTCCTTATAATGATGGACGGGGAGACATATCAGCTATGTACCCACAAATGCTCATTAAGACGCAATGTAAAGGAAAAGAACGAATCGAAAAAAATGCTGCCAACGTTTCGAGTTAATATTAGTGGGGGTCTATCCTATCGTACATCTCTTTCTTTACATTTAAAGAGAGCTGTGAGCCTATGCCATGGCGGTCTGCGAGCCACTAGCCACCTCGTCCTCGCGTATTGTCTTGCTGCCAGAGAGAATCTCATACTCACACTTTGAACCGTCAATAAAGTTGGTCTCGTCAAACTTCAGGTACAGATTAGAGGCTACAGGGCGTAAACCCGAGTAGGCAGCCGAAATCCCTCGAATGAGCCCATTTTCTAGCTGATCCGTAGACTTAGGAGCAATGCGAAGGTCAAAGCACTGTTCCTTCGAGCCCAGATACCACTTGCTTAGCTCACCACACACACTCACAACACAATTTGGACTCGAGTGCACATCAAAGGTCACAAGAGCGGACTCCATCTTGGCTTCAAGGCTCAAACGGCGATCGTTAAACACTACAACCGTCTCCCCACCCACAATTTTCTCCTTTATAGGACGAAGCTGTCGGGGCTCACCCACTTTGCCTTCTTCCCAAATGGCCAAAAGTTCCCGCACGGGCGCGGGCGTCTGATTGTTACTCACAAACTTTTCCAAAAGACCACGCAAGTGCGTGTGCTGCTCGGTCTCAGCATTGGTAGTAGCAGCCGGGACGTCCACCGCTGTGGTGGAGACGGCCATGACGGCCATGAATACAAGCTGACGAAGACGCTGCATAGCAATCTGGTGGGGATGACGTTGTAACTGACGAATAGTCGGACTGTGAGTGTACCTGTTAAATCGTAGTTACTGGTGTAAATAGCTTAAGTGGCGTCTTCCTTTCGGTCTTTAACTATACTACGACGTTTGTTTTATTACTTCTGCTATACTGTGCTAAAAACAGAAAGTGAGAGCGAGTGAAAAGAGGTACTGTCGCAAATTTGGCCTGCTGCGATGAAAACAAAACAAATTCTATAAATGATTATTTTATACATAAAAGGCCTGGTGGATACACTTTGCTTCTACATCCTTAAGCAGTACCCTTACTCCTCGTGAGAGTGCTAACAAATAACCTATCAGATCACATTTATTGCTAAACTCAATCAAATTTGATTTATTTTGTTATGAAGGTTTCACTATCGGAACGGTTGATTGCGGCTAGGTCATAGCCACAATCATACTTATTGACCAATGAAAAATCCAGCGCAGTCATCGCATCGCTTGCAGCAATCCAGGGCCTCCAACGCCTGAAACAGCCTGCACTCGTGGATTATGAAACACGACGACTTACGCCGGAGGACGCGTAAACAGGCTCATATGATGGGGCGCAGCTGAGTCGGGTAAGCCATCACCTTATACAAAATAGAATCTTTTCAAGCCTAGTTACAATGTATCTATTTACACGCGGGAAAGGAATGCCAACTGTTTGGCATTTTACTGAAGATCGATCTACTTTCAAACTGGTTGACATGTCAATGCTACTGTCCATTTGTCAGTGAAACTTGCAAATGGGCAACTTGAAAAGTTGCTGCATAAGGATGCAGGAATCGCTGCTACCCCTGCATGCATGGGCACCCCCACGGCACAATACAGCTGGTGGATGTTCACCGAAATGTAGACGTCTTGTGCGGTGCTGTCACAGACAAAATTGTCTTGAGTGCTTTCAAACATATTACGTACGGAGCAAGCTATGTCCACATCATGCCTTTTCCACAGCACGCAAGATCGCGATGTTATTGACATTAGCAGGACAGCACACCCGAAAGTTTGTTTAGCTGCTAGAATGCAAGCCATGCTGGTGGGCTATGTTTACGTAGTCAAATCACTGTTCCCTATGCCCATCTCCATCTCGTACACATCAAGTCAGCACGGCTACTTGAATATGTCAATGTGCGCCTTTTCATGTCGTACCATGGCCAATGCACTACTTTTAGGAATCGACTACATGCGCTTATTCCAATCGTCCTTGGAAACTGCAAGAAAAGATACAGCTGCGTATCTTACCGTAAGTTTATACTTGCATCAAAGGGGGACGCTCACTGCGGAAGGATTTTTCTATAAGAACCTTTTTGTGTTTATTCCCATGATGCATGATTTATTAACAGACTCAAAAGATAGTTAGTTGCTTAGTATTAATAACCTCTGAAATAGCATTGCATAGTTAAGCTGTAGTGTCCCAACGTAGCATCCTTAAAGTCAATATACCTAGGTTAACGTCCAACCAAAAAAAAAACATGATATGGCTAACTGACTGATTTTTTATGAGACATGTTTTCTTCGCCATGTGGTCTTCGTCATTTGGGAGGGTTGACCAGTCAGCAGCCTGAGGCCGCCACAGCGGAGCCATAGTGTCTTGCGATCATGCTGCCCAGTGCGCTCTTGATGGCCCCGCTCACTTCATCCACTGCTTTGCCGTTCTTGAATACCTTGAAACACGGTAACAATGACACATCGAAGTCGTCTGTTCCACTCTAACAGATCCAGAAACAGCAACATTCACAGAACTTCTGATTAACCAACCCAGTACATCATTATTACAAGCGCAGCCACGTGTACACAGATACATCGGCTTGACGCCACACTGCGCTGGTTGGTATCCAGCATGACCGTCTGAAGCTCACCTCAAGTTCATCAACATCGACGCGCGCGAATACTGCAGCAGGAAATTGACCACTCAACTCTTCAAAGAATGGAGCAATTTCGATGCACGGCTTGCACCACGTAGCCCAGAAGTCCACTACCAACTGCGAGCAACCACGACAAATTAAGCGGCATAGATCATGAGTCATTGTCAGAGCTTGAGACGATCACAGAGATCCTCTGCACCACCAGATTCGTATCAGAGGCCAGAGCTATGGTTGACGCGAAGGCGCCGGTTTCTATGTAACAGATACATGAAGCATCTATCAGCAAGGCATCGTACACGCACCGGTTTGTCCGATTCCTTATTCTGCTGGATGAGGTGCTCCCACTGCGTTTCCGACGTTACCGTCACCACCTGCGACTTGCGCTGGCGAATTCCGTCAGCCGCTAGCTTCTTTCCAATCGCGTCAGTCTCCTCAACAAGCAGTTTCTCGTTCGCAGCCAGTTCTGCCTCGACATAGTGCTTCTGGATACGCGTCTCCAGTCCCTTCTTATCTGCGCCGCGCATCTCGTCGCATTTCATACCGTCGCAATAGAACTGGAATGTCGGCATGGCCGAGACATTGCAGCTCTTGGCCACTACCTTAAGCGCATCTACGTCCACTTTGAGGAAGATTGTGCGTATGTGTTTGACACTTAGCTCATGAAAGGTGGAGCTAATATAGTCGCAACGACTGGTATAAGCTGTTGAGAAGTCCACGGCCACGGAGCGGTTTGTCCTGATCATCTCTTGAAAGTGTTGCTCGGATGTTACGTCGATCACACGGCTCTAATATACATTCGTGTTGAAACATGCAAGTGCAAGTTTACAACAAGCGAAGAAAATACAGAGTTAGGCGTTGACGACAAAAGAATTGCTTGTATGTTTGTTCAAGATGAAGCCAAGTTCATATACACTATACGCACATTGCTTGGAATCAACTTGTCGTCTTGGCGTAATACGCTGCGAAGAAACCAACCCCAACACCCTCGTGACATTGTGAATGAATTCGAAAATGTTATTTAATTAGACGATGGTGTGCTCCACTCTAATATCGATCACGTTTACTGATAAATAACCGGACCTGTGATCATGACCCAAAACAGTTAAGAGGCAACGTGTAAACTTTTCATTGCAGCTTAGATAATAAGGGTATCATCGAACTAACCATCGTCTAGGTCGTTATCAGATTCGATTCTAGGTCTATAAATTTGAAGAGTAGGTAAAGTTTGCATAATATTCACTAGGTCAGTCCCATGGACATGTGTTTATTCGAGATCGTGCGCGCATTATTGATTCTGATCTTAGCATGTCGTTAGTTCGACAAATGTCCACTTATACTCCACACTTATTCAAACTAAAGCGCAAGAGTTGAGTCTGTCGTCAATTACCGATATTCAGTGATGTATATATAGTCCAAGGCGTAACACCATTGGGTATGCTGTCGGATGCAGACAACTTGTGGCTGATGAGCACTAGCGTAAAATATATTTTATTATGACACATTGATGTCCAGAGCATTTGCGGAGAAAGACTCTTTCCGTTGAGTACGCGAAAACTGAACCGTCGGATAAAGTTCTCGCACTGACAAGATGTTTATGCAACACCGGCAAATTCTTAACCTTGCGTGTTTGGATGCTAAAACTGCTATCTAGAAAAGCAGTCTAATTTCATGTATGTAAGAGCAGCACGAATGGCATAGACACAAACACAGCTGTGGTATCGCATAATACTATGACCAAGAGCCGTATCGCAAATGAGATTCTAACGATGGAAAGCTTGGCTCTATTTTAGTGTGATATTATACTGCATCTATCCTATTGCAGCACGAGCTTGTGGGGAGCATAAATCTACGCAGAGTGTTGAAGGTCACTGAAACTGGCGCCAGTTGATTACGGCTGAATTGGATTATCCATTTTAGTCCATTGCGAACCCATGTCGATTATGGTGATTACGCCACTACAAGATTATGGGTTCAAATGGACAATGCTTACGCAACTTAGAATTCAGCGTTAAGTATCCAGTAGATTCTAGGACTGGTAGGTAATATTGCAAACAAACGCTAATCAATCAAATTATTTTCTGAACTCCTCATTAACTCTAAAGCACTTTTCGTTACCTCGCCTAAAATCAGGCCGTGTCAAGGACAAAGAAGACTGTTGATTATCCAAGTAACCTTTAGTCAATACGAGGAGCAGCTGAGTGTTTGATTGGAGCAATTGAGAGGTAATTTATTGATCGGCCAGTTCATTGCCCTTACCTAAAACAACTACAATCCTAACCTTATCCTAGCATTGCTCATTATCCGTGAGGATCTAATAATCTTAAAACGTAGCTGAAGTTGGTATATCGTAGTCCTATGCTTAATTAATCCGAAATTGTTGCAAATCGACGGTAGTTTTGTTTCGGATGAATGTATTAATCGAAGGTGATGGGCATAATGCATGTGACATTTAGAAAAGTGCGTGTGTATATAGTGCAAGTGTCTATACCAAAATGGTATCCATACATTGGAAAGTTGTTTGTAGGGCTTGTATGCGCTGTAGCTTAGTGGGATTGTAACGAGGTGAGACCGTTACATAATATTGACCCATTGTGAATGTTTTTTCTCATAGATAATATTATTATCTTCAGGAATAACGTTGTCGGAATATGACCGTTAGAAGGTTAAATTCCTTTGAAGCTGGCTACACTCCGCTTTTAGCTGATATAGGTCATATATCACCAACCTCTGGCCGATAAAAAGATAGATGCGCGCAATGAATCGTGGGTAAGTAAGTTCTCGACACACGTCATAGTAGTTAAATATAGTTACAGTAAAAGTTAAGGAGATTAATAGTGAAACAAGTGTTCAACGATACCTAATAAACAGTTCTCGTCTTTACTTTGACCTAGCAAGTGTTCTTGTTAGGTTAACTAGCTTCCTACTGTACGCTTATTTACGAGAAATTTCGGGACACCTGCTTCGACGGTGTAAGTGTAAGCTGGCAATACTTTTTTCAGTGAAGCCGGAGCATGCCCCGTTACACCTGGCGGCACTTTGTGGTATTTTACAAGGTCCTTGTACACATACTCTATGGAACCAGCGGAGTGAAGAACGCTGCGCGCAAGAACTTCTGCTATTTAAGTGACCTTGAATGGTAGGCGGTACAGCGAATGGCTGTAGGCGTTGGCGAGGCCACCGTCGGCAGTGTGTTGCTGTCCCATGATGGGAACAAGCAACATTGAAGAATCGTCAAGTTTGTGTCAAATAAACTTGACGAGGGGATAAAAGAGGCTCGCTTTGCTGTAACAGCAAGATGCCTAGCAATCCAACTACTTGCGATAGCAGGAACTTTAACAGTCTGAACTATTGAAGCAGCAGCAAGAAAGTGCTGGTGCTACTGGGGCGACGCATCTACGTCGAACTGTACCTTTCAAAATTGAGGTAGAGCTTTCAAGGGCGACACTTTGCTACAATGGACCGTCAAGATCGACGACGCCATTGAAGCTCGTCACATAGAAGATGATGCGATCATGGTAACATTCGCCATGTTGAAATTGGCTTGTTAAAGCCTGTGTCTTAGGGCTCAATTTTTATAATCCTTACATTTTTGGAACGTATGAAATTTTCAAGACGAGGCTCAAAGAGACGTTTAAGCCTCCTCGTGCTGTATTCAGGGTTCGGCTGACTTCTGGATCTAAAACAGGGTAAGCGTGGTCTACAACACAATAAATCGTAAAGTTTTATTGTAACGGGGTTACACAAAGGTGTGTTTACAACACCCTGCCACACCAATGTGGAGTGGCTGTACCTTGGGTACAAAGTAGGGCGTACCTGAAGTACGAAGGGTCGCATCGTGGCAGAGAGCCACGTGGTCACTATACTTATTTAAAGTATAGTGACTATGCATGTTTGCATAATAATAACAGGCTATAGAGCCAGTAAATAGTGATTAGCACTAAGTATAGGATAGGTGCTTCTATATTTAGTGCTAGAAAATAAACATAAATATAAATCAGTTTCCAACCTGCTCTGTAAGCCTTACAGCTTGAGCGTTCGATTCCTTCTATGGAATCAGTATCTTTGATACTAGTCTCGGTTTGAGACTCGGTTGGTAATACCGATAGGCACAAGCTTACGAGCTAGCCTAGGAGGGTTAAGCACCCGAAGACGTAGAAGCTCTCTGAGCTTGTCTCTCTCTGCACATAGTGCATAAGTAGCTTTGCTACAGTAGTCTGACTACTTTTCTGCACATAGTGCATCTGTACATAGTCATAAGTAGCGTAGCTACAGTAGCTCGGCTACACCTGGTAGCACATGTAGTCAATCCCGCACCTGGGTTTGTGACTGCTTCTCTGTGTGAGAATGGACATCGACGAGATGTCATTGGTTGGCCTGTCACAGGCACAACAGGAAGGGTTGCAGAAGCTGCTCCCTATTCTTGGACCCAAGGGTGTAGAGTACCTCATCGCTCAGGGCGAAGAAGAGGTTAACAAGCGTATTCATATGCTTGATGAATATAATAAAGCTCTAATCGAGCATGTAAAGGCACAGATGCACTCTTCTGCACTTTCGCCCATGGGCAAGAAGTCGTCCGCAGACCAAAACCCATACAAATGGAAGTCGATATGTTCGACGGCAAAGAAGGTGACAACCATATGCTTTGGTTCTGACAGGTCGAGTCGGCTATGTTTATAGCCGACATCACCTATGAACCGCACCGTGTGGGCTTTGCCACGGGCAAGTTGGGTGGATTAGCCAAACAGTGGGCATTCACATGTGGTACATAATTGCAAGATGCTTTTCCCACATGGGCCGATCTGAAAGTTCAGATGACCCGGCAGTATGCACCGCCAAACCAAGCACACCGTAACCGGTCGCGGTTTTTGGCGTGTCGCCAAGGCAAGCGTGAGCTTACGGCAAATGTACAAGAGTTGAGAACTCTCATTGCTGCCATGGTCATAGACCCTATGCCTGAGGCAGTGACCGTCACGGTCTTCATGGAAGGCCTCCGAGTTGGCGTTGCCAGAACGGAAGTCTTCCGGGTAGACCCGTCCTCATTCGAGGAAGCTGTTGGAGTGGCACGGAATGCCGAGACCAACTTTAAGGCCGCTAGGCCTGCCACTTATAACTACTCGTCTGATGGGTCTGATCCCATGGACTCTAGTCAAGTGGAGGATGAAGAAGCTGAGCTTCAAGCTGCGGAGCAGCAAATTGTGCGCAGATGTTATATCTGCAAGAGCACAGGCCATTTGATGGCAAAATGCCCTGCAAGAAAGGCATATTTGGCCTCGAAGGGCCGACGCCCCATGGGTAAACCTTCTGGTTTGCCGCGGGGAAACGGCGGAACCCAGTAGGTGCGGGGCGCCCTACTGGGGAAGAACTGAGTTTTGTTGAACCTCTAGGAGGTAGAAGCAAACAAGGCCTAGCCCCAAAAAGATCCGAACTCTCAAGAACGGAACGATCATGCAAGCCAGGCTTGATAGTCGTCGAAGGGGCGATTAAGGGCTATGATAAGCCATGGATCATTTTGATCGATTCGGGGGCATCGGGCAATTATGTGCGCCGTGCCACCGTGGAAGGTAGTCAGCAGTATGCTCTTGTAGCGCGTGAAAGTGACACAGTCACAGTTCGCTTAGCAACGGGTACGCGTGTTACGGTACCCAAAGTCCCGATGGACTTAAATGTAAAGTTCTTGGACTTTAACAGCATGGAACGCTGTTTGGTCTTAGACCTGGATGCGAGGTATGACCTCATCCTAGGCATGGCATGGCTAGAATGTCATGAGCCATGGATTGATTGGAGGTCGAAGACCTTAGGCGCAACGCGCAATGCTCCTGGTGGGGCTCTGGAGAGTCATGAACCAACCTCTGCTAGGAAGCAAAAGCGCTTTTGGCGCGGATATTGGACCGAGTCGGTCAATATGTTGGATGTCGGAATATCCGACTTCGTAGACACTGTAAGTGTCGAGGACAATAGTCCTGGGCGAGGCCCAATGACTGTCGATAGTGTGGT